AATCAGAGGAACTAAATTCCAATTATCATTCTACCACAAATTTGGTAGGTGGCAAAAAATAAGTCCCTCAACCTCTTCGGTTTCAATGTCTTCCTCTCCTACTTGAGATGGTGGGGGTACATCTTCTCAATGTCTGGAGCCTACTTTCCAAATGCAGAAATTGCACATTCATCAGCTAACTCTTCTCTGTCATTTCTTAACCCAGGTACACCTTTTACCTTAATATAAGTCTTTTCTAAGTTGCATTACCATATACTGTTTGAATGCTCATTATGTATAGGTTATGTTTACAAAGTCATCTTCAACTAAAGTAGTCTGACCGAAAGGATTTCCTCAAATTTTTGAGCCTATAACCTATAAGCTGCTAAGATCACATTGTTCCTATCTGCAGACAACTTTCTTTCTTGTTTGCTCCTCTACCCCTCACTGTATATAGCACTTTGGTCCTTGCAAACTGCTTTCCCATCTCTTGTCGCACTAAACATCACTAGAATGAAATAGAGACCTTAACAGGTACCAGGCCAAAACTCAGTCTAAGCCACACTATCTCTCCCTAAGCTAACACAGCTCTACACCCAGTCTCATTGTTAGCCTACAAGGGTGCGACTGAGATAAGGCAGGGTGGGAACCTGACCCAGTGACAGCCAATCAGAAGAGCTTTTGTCTGTGGATCTGACCAGGGTGATTCATCAGCCACCAATCCCAGAGGCTTTCAATGGGAGAACAAAAGTCCACTATTGCCCCAAAGGCTGTGCTTGGGTTTATTCCCTTGTACAAAAAAAAAAAAAAAAAAAGGCTGGGGATGTGGCTCAGTGGGCGAGTGCCCGCTAGTTCAATTCCTGGTACAAAAAAAAAAAAAAAAAAGCTAATGTAACTGTCAAGAGCAACTCAGAATTCCCACAAAACAAAGCTCAAGGGAGAAGAATTAGAAAAGACAAGCGAAGTATATTGCGTCTATGTGTACACAGTTACAAAGTAGAGACGAGTGACTGTCTGAATCAGGATAGCCTATCCCCGAAAGGAGACCCCAATAACCTCTTTTATCTTAAATGTCATTATAAAAAATGAAGACTTGAGAGAATGACCTCAGCATTGCCGTCACAGATGGAGTCTCAATCGAGCGTCACTTATAAGCCCTCTCTGATTCTTACTAGACATGAGTATGTGAAGTGTTTTTCACTTGCCCTCTTGAAAAATATAATAATAAAATATAAAAATATCTTTAAAAATATAAAATCAAGCAAGTTCTTCCTTTCCTACTTTGTATTTTTTAAAAATTTTACTGTCATGAAATATTTGGTTTTATACTCTTATGTTTTCAAATCCAGAAAAACCCTACCCATAATTCATGTCAGGAAGCACAAATGGTACAAAAGAACCAGAATTTTCTGCCCAGTGGGTAGAAAATATTCCAGAAAGTAAGAGAGAGTAGAAGTGAGCTTTTCCACCTGAAGGAAACACCTAACACCCTTCATCCAGAAGCGAGTTCTAGAGTGAGAAGGGAGTGATATTAAACATGGGAAGCAAGGAAACAAGCAAAACAAAGCAAATCAGCCTTTACAATACGTTGACATCATATTCAAGGTCTGAGCATGCTCTCTTGATGTCCACCTTTTAATTATTTTATCTAATCATTATATATAAAAGAATATAGTCAAACAGGCCTTGGAAAGGTGATCAGGAGAGAAAAATTCTAATTAAAACATTGACATTACTACTGCATGTCCTTAATTAACTCACTTTTCGCTTATTTAATCAGTCATCATTCAGTGGTTACTTACTAAAGAAGTAATATTTCTAAATGTTGTTCTGGGTGCTAGCTTTGGAAGTTGGCCATGTTCGAGACACCTTTTGAAGCAGGTGTTATAGGAAGTCCCTTACATAAGATTTCAGAGATTTATGTTTTTTAATCCTGCTATCTATCATGACCATACCTGTTTGGATCAGAAATTGGCAGCAGACACCAAACACAGCCATCTATGGATCTCCCAACTGCTCATAATCTCCTAAAATATGGCCCAGATTCTTCTCTACACTGGACACTAACCAACTGAGCTATTTTAAGAATCTTCTAGAAGGTTTAAATAGCAAATATTCAGAGAGAAGAACAGGAAGTAGAGTGGAATAGAAAGCAAGAGAGAGAGAGATGACCATAAGGTAGTAATAGCCATGCCTTACTATAAAAGGTGAAGAAAGTGGGAAAACAGGAGCAAAAGAAGCAGGAGTCTTGGTGAAGAAGAATAACAAATACCTGCTACCAAAAGGAAATTGTTCATTAATTCAATCACCAATGTCTATTGTGCATCTTCTATACATGAAGGTACAAATGTGAGCAAAACAAAATTCCTGTCCTGGTGGAGGGTACTGAAAGGGTCATATGCTAATTAAATAATCACACACACATACACACACACACAAAAAAAAACTGTGATAGATTCTTGGAAAATAAAAATAGAGAGGCACAAGATGAAATAAGGTGGGGGGAGAACAGATTCATTTTACGGGAGAGCGTCCAGGTGCAGGAAGACAGGCTCAGTGAAGTCTTTCTGGGATGGCCGGGAGAGAGGTCCACAAAAATGAATTGGAATTAATTAGGCAAAAGTTATTTGGGAGAAACCATGATGTCATGGAGACACTTGAAGAGGAGTAAGGGGCAGAGGAGAACAAGGTTAAGCTTGAAAGTTAGGTAAAGCCTGATCTTGCCAGAACATGTAAGCCATTTTAATGATTTGGGTCTTAATCCCAAGAGTAGTGAGAAGCCATCAGAGAATTCCAGTAAAGAGAGAGAAGCTAAGATATGCATTTAAACTGACAACTGTGACTCCTTGTGGGAACTAATGAGCAGGGCTTAGAATAGAAGGACCAGTTTAGAAGCTTCTTCAGGAGTCCAGGGTAGAGATGGTGACTTGAACCAGAAGGCTGGACAGCATTCTGGATATACAATGCCTCAGCGTGGGGAAAACATCTAATTCATCTTTGCATCCATATGTCTAACACAATCCTGGCACCCAATAAATACTCAGGAAATGGCTGTTGAATGGATGGAGATCAGTTCTAAGGAACCAGTGATCATAATACTTTAGTAAGTTTCCACTTCCACCACAAATCCACCCTACAGAATGTCCAATGGTGGTGATTCGGGAACTCTCTCAGGGGAGCTATCTGAGGGCAAGGGAAACGTTTATCCCCGGAATGACCCCATTAATGAACTGGTAATCAAGGAGTTGGTCTCCAAAGAAGTTAAGATCTTGGGCCAGGTGAGGTAGCCCATGCCTATAATTCCAGTGACTCAGGAGGCTGAGGCAAGAGGATCACAAATTCAAAGCCAGCCTCAGCAACTTAGCAAGGCCCGAAGCAACTCAGCAATGTGCTGTCTCTAAATAAAATATTTAAAAGGGCTAGAAATGTGGCTCAGTGGTTAAGTGCCCCTGGGTTCAATCTCCAGTACCTCCCACCCACCCCAAAAAAGATAGATCTTGGTAAAGTATAATAAACACCTGCTGTCCATGAAGCAGAATGGAAAAGTGGTTGAAATCATAGATTCAAATTCGCAAAGTGCCCAATAGATTCACATCCCAGTTATATCAATTTCTCACTGTTGATAGGTATGCTATTTAAACCCTTTCTACTTCCATTTCTTCAGTCACACAGTAGTAATATTAATAGTATTATGCCTACCTGGAAGTGCTATGGTGAGGATTAAGTGAGATTACATATGTTAATGGTTTATCACAAGGTTTGACACATAGGAAATTCTCAATAAACTTTTATTATCCTCACCTACACAGTGAGCTTCTCAAAGAAAAAGCACTCTTTATTAGAGGATGGAGCCTGTGACATACTAGGTACTCAATAAATTTGCTCTTTGACTTTGCATTCTCATCCATCATCCTGAGTTTGAGGATTTGATTTCACACGTTTGTCTCAGAGCCATCTTTTTAAGCTCAGGTCATCTGACAATCTCTCATATCCTACTAGGGAATGTTCTTCTCACCCTGTAATTATCAGCCTTTCCATCGCCTTCCTCTTTTCCTGTTCCAAGCAAAATTATTCAGTCTGCTTACCTTTCCCCCCACAAATCCTGCCATTTCAAAGTTAATTGCTTCTACTTCCATTGCACACCTGCCTCGCTTTATTTGTCTATTAACTTTGCTTTCTTGTAAGTAGATCGTATCTATTTAGCTTGCCCCCTTTTCCCTTCTTATTAATGAACTTTCTATCCCTGGCATCGGTTGAGAGTTGCCCTTCAACCCTGGCTTCTTAAACCAGTCTCCAAATTCTTTGCTGCTTAGATGATTGCTTTTGGCATGCTCCTTGCTAATTCACCTTTGTTAGGCAACTCTTGCCTCTGAAAACATCCCTTTCTTGCAGACTACAGGAGGGAATTATTCCTCCCAACCAGTTTTAAACTACTCTTCCTTTTGACTCAGTTTTATTGTCTTCTCCCTTTGAATGTCTGGTAATATGTGTCTTCCAGCTAGAATTACACATTGTCTATACCTCTGGCAGGTAAAAGGAGAAAAAAGCCACACCTCTAGGCACACTTCCAAAAGGAATCAAATGAAAGCCCTCCCAGCCCATCCCTCTGGGTACCTCTGTGCATAGGCTGGCTTCCTTCAGGAAGATTAATTCTGTCTTTTTCAATTTCTATGCTCTGCTGGCATTCCTCACCTTCCCTATCTGAATGCTGTATAGGATGATTGTCCTCCTTAATTGTACTCTTAACACCAATTCCATCTGCTGATCCTGGGCCTTGTTTCATGGCTCATTGCAAGCTATTCATCTCCCTTTCTACCCCCCACAGCCTCTTGGATTTCTTTACACAATTCTTAAACAAGATCCTTGAGATTTTGTTTGAAGCAGGTTTTTATTTGAGGACTCCTTTTTGTTTTGTTTTGCTTCCAATTCTTATTACTGTGGAGGATTGTATTTCTGGGACTCTGTGTTTCATTGGCCTATATTTTTTTGTCTTTTTTACTAGATGATCAGCTCATAACTGCTCATGTTCAAATTCGTCTCTTTACTCAGTAGATCCAGTAGAACACAAGGGTTACTGTGTCAAAAAGCAAAAATTCTCCTGTAGAGTGGACAAGAGATGCTACCTGATACAGTGTCTCCAACATGGATATCTTCTTGACTCTATGCAGACACCTCAAGTCAGAAGAAGCTCACTGTTCTATGAAACAGCAATTTTCACACTTAGAGATTCCAACGTTCTACATAGTACAACCTAATCATTAAGTGAAGTTCATCTCTCTGTAGCTTGTATACCACGTTTGCCATCTGAGGTTCTACACATTGAATCCACAATCCACATTAGGTATTTCTAGGTATTTAACAATGTCCTAAATATTTGATGAACACTTCTTTGCAGTCCAGCTATCCCAAATTCCCTCAACCATTGATCAAGTGCCCTACTGTCTCTTCTAGAGTGCTTGCATGCAGCACCTCTTCTGATCCATGTGACCTGGAACCAAATTCAATGTCCCCAACTATCAGATCAGCTAAGCACATTGTGTACAGATGACTAATGAATTCATTACATTCATTAGTCTAAGATCACATTAGCTTTTTCAAATACATCTTTTCTTTATAGTGATTCATAAATGTTTTATTTCTAAGTATTATGTGAGTTATTCCTGAATCAGATGTCCCCTCCCAGGGAATTATACAAATAACTTTTGAAACCTAACGGTAAGGCTTCCCATTTAGATATATTAAAATGTATTTTATGAGTCTTCAGGCCATCTTTTCAACTTTCAGTTTTAAAACTCCAGCTTGAAAAAGTAAAAGAAAAAAATAAATAAATTCTAGCTCAGAGGTTCAGCTTAGTTTGCTTTGCTATAAGTTTGGCAAATACTCTTTCTCCTCTAATGATGCAAATCCTTGACAAGAACGTTGACAGAGTCAAGGCCAAGAATACACACCAGCGATCACCCTTGAAGTTGACATCAATGAAACAACCATGAGTCTTGAGACTCATGGCTCTTCAGGTGCTCTGACTCTGGATAACACACAGCACAGTTCACTTTTCTCCAGGTAGTATACAGAGATAGCACCCACATCATAATTATGATGACAACCAACATGTGTAATGTAGCATGAGTCCATTATGATCTAGCCATTTTTCTAAGAGGTTTCCATGCATTAGCACCTTAGTCTCCATAATAGCTCTACAAAGTAGGTAGGTCATGTTATTATTGCTATTATTAAATAAAGAACTAGGACATAGAGCAATTAAAATGCTCAATCCAATAATGGTGGCTTAGAGATTTCAACTCCACTGTCAAAAGACTCCAGAACTTAAATTCCTAACCCCCTTATTGAGATTTTTGTCAAATGAAACGCAGAATTTCATGACTTTCCTACTTAACCAAGCTAGAACTTTCCAAAAATAAGAAATGAAACTATTTTAATGTGGATTCTAAGTAAATGTGACTCTTGGTGATCACAACTTCTATGTCCTTCTAAATCACAGCTTCAGTACTCTAGAGTTAGAATTTTTCTAGAAACTAAATTCACACTTCTAAGTCTCAGGGTATATATCTGATTCATCTACATATGCTTCAGATGATATTTGTAATCCAGCCGCCCTTATAGCGATTGACAATGACTCAAGAACCATATATTTACAAGTTCATTAACTATCCTCAGAAATAATAGACCAACTTAACTACTCAGTTTACTATAGTTTAAATCAGTCCACTCTTCTTGAGCCTCAGTTCTCTGTTAAACTTGACTGTTGTGACCCTCAGTTGAACAACATTTCCCAAAGCAAAAATAAATAAATACATACATAAATAAATAAATAAAATATTTTTGAGGAAAAAAAAAATTGGAGTATTTCTCTTCTCACTTCCATCTGAAAACCCTTCAGCATTTTCTTCCCATGGTGAGTCTTTCTCTGTTGTTCTTGGATTACAGTAGAAAATGCTGGTTTAGCAGGTTATCTACCTCCCTGCTCTAAATAAGGCTGGGGGACAATGTTCTCAAGATATAGAGTATGCTAGGGTGTTTTAAGGACACAATATAGTTCACCTCAACTATCTCCTTGTACCTTCCCTTTAGGAGAAAATAATGCCTCATGTAGTTCAGCTACCCAGATGTAGTTCACTCCAAACAGGAGTGGCCAAGGCAACCAGAACTGATGGGCAGGGATACAGATCCTCAGGGAGTCAGGGAGGCTGAAAGGTCACAGTCACTGGCAGAGAAAAAAAACAGTAGAGGAACAAAAGAAAAGAAGAAATAGGAGAAGATAAGGACCAAAGAGAAGAGAAGAAGAAACGGGAAGAAAGAGATCCCTGTGGGCCAGGGTAATTAGTGTGGGTCATGGGTATCTTTTAACAGCCAGCTAACTTACTTTCCAGCTTCAATTCCCAAGGGTTCCTCCTGTGACTCTAGCATGCCACCCATACCCAAGAGATGCCCTTGGCTGAGCATCCCAGGCAGCACCTGAGAATATCATGACTTCTTACCTTTGTTCCCAATTAAGAAAGATTAAATGAGGTGCTTAGTGCTAGGCCTAGTACATGTGTGGCCTTTATAATTAGTTATTTTCTCTGTGGTTCTACAATACCTAATAGATAGGAAAACTCACTTTAGTTTTTAGATATAAATCAACTTATAGGCCAAGTGGAAAATGATCTGAGTTGTGAAAAATCTAAAATTGGCCTTGTATGACCCTGAGCAGTGCTGTGGTACACAAAGTGGAATCAACTTTTATTATATTTAATTACATGTATAACCAAAAACTATGCTTCTATGAGCCATTGACAAAAAAAAAAAAATCTTAAAAATCACATTTGATCCAGAACGTAGTGTGCATCAGAGATGTAAGGACCCTATTTACTGCCCCTGCCCCCACAATTTATTTCCAAAGAAAATTTCCCAATTCATGAAAAATGTATGTTGTTTTTAAAGCAAACTCCTTGGGGGGGGGAAGAGTTGCATTAGGGAAAGCTAGCAATACACTTTGTGCATTGGGTTTGACCTCTTGAGTGTCAGCAAATGAGACAATGTGTAGCTCACCATGTAGAGAAAAGTACTGAGAGGAATGCTGTTCGCATACTGCTACTAAAACAGCAGAAGTCGTTTTTGTCTCTGGATGTTTCAGGACAAGTTGAATCCAAAAGAAATAAAGAAGGGGAATGTTTTTCCTGGCTACTCCTCTGGTGGCTCTCAGCATCCTGGCCTGGTGGGGGCAGAAACACGTGACCATCTTTTTGAGATGGAGAACATGAGAATAGCCCTTTCTCAGACTGTGCTTGCAATCTATAAATTCCAGCCAAGCAAGATTTCAGTCTCTCTCCAAAACTGTTGCCAGGCACTAACACTAAAAGAATCGCACCGCATAGACTTTTTAAAGAAATCAATTACAAACCTCTTTCATTAGCCAAACAAGTTCAACTACCAGAAATATTTTGTGTGAAACATATATAAAGACCTGCAGTTGTCTTGCGTGGTGTTTACAGGTCAGCCTCCTTTATACACCAAGGTAGAATATGATGAATGAAACACAAGTTTTCACAATACACAGCATTTTTTCTCATGCTTCCTCTGTGAAGGATCGTGAATGCTAAAGACCAGCGATGGGGGACCCGCAGCCAAAACAGAATTCAGGGCCATTCTCACTGACAACATTGTGGAGTTACTGAGGGAACAGCAAGATGAAGCTTTCAGCTTTTTTTCCAGTGTCTAGGAGAAAGTATTTCGAAGGAAATTGTGCCTGGGGAAAGTTTTGTTAGCTTCAAAATCAAGAATAAGTCATGGTACAATTAGGATGAAGGAAAGAAATCTCATCTGAGATCCCTAAAGTGTGAGACTAAATTTTCACATTCACAAATTAGAAAGGGAAACTGCTTTCGAAATGCAGGGTCTGGGAGAATTTGTGTAATTTTATAAGATTATCCCGTATTCTTTAATTCACCAAGTTCCTGCAGAAACCAGGAAAATCTGGCCAAGTCAATTAAAATGACTGACTGTATTAGGTAGGTTTCTATATGCAGGAATTCCAGGTCATGTTCAGTATTGGACCAATATTGGTAGGCAAAAAGGAAAGCCCCTGAATCTTCTGCAGAAAACCCCTCCGTGTCTAAATAGAAGGAAAAACAGAGACAAAGAAATAGATGACATTTGGAAAATACACACAGAGAACTTGTGCCTTCCTGGATTCTTCATGAGACAAGGAACTTTCATAGAAAAATATATTGACCAAACTTTTCTGATGTTCTCAACAAGAGAAGCTAATATGACCTCAAACTGATAGTATCTGGCACTAACTTGATCCACTTTTCTGCTGACTTGCTTCTCTCCTCACGCCCCCTGCCTCAGTCAGGAGATCCATTCAATGTACACAACACAGAAGCCTGTTTCTTCCTGACTCATCATATCCAACTCTCACCACATCCTACTGATTCTACCTCCCAAAGGTCTTTGACACTATCCATACCTTTTCTGTCAATGTCACCACCCTAGTTTAAATCAAAACCTTCTATCGTTCAGACCACTGATGGTCCTTAAGCAAGGCCGCTGGCATCTTGTCATGACCCTTCCCCACTCCATACTCATATTTCTTTCCTGAACTCTGTGTCATAATGTGGCCCTCTGAAAAGAATTCCTTATTGCTGATCAACACAAGTCTGGAAACTCCAGAATCCAAAAAATCAAGTAGTGTCAATTTAAATTGCTAAATATAATTCCAGCCAAAAATAACAGGTCTTTTGTGTGAAAGGTGAGGCACTGACTGGATGGACATCCTTACAGTTGGAATAGAAATGACCATCTGAAGATTCAGAGGACTTCAAAAACCCACCAACCTGAATTTAAACATTCCCCACTTGACAGTTTCCTTCAATTACTTTATTGCTGACCAGTAGCCAGTGCTGGACCTTACTGTGGCCTGACAGAAAAAAAAATGTGTGTATTTAGTAGATTGGGAGTGTTTGGTTATAGATGATCCAAACAAAATGGAGAAGAGAGAAAGAAAAAAAAAAAAATTCCCCAACCAGAATTACAGGGATTCCCTGATTTGTACATTTAACAATCTAGGGAAAATTTCCATCATAAATTTTGAACATGTTGGACCAAAGGTAGCAGAACATCACTTTGGAGTGAGAGACAATCACCACTGCTCCAGGTGCAATCACCACCTGTCTGTGTTCAGGTGCTCGCCTAGACAGCTGGCCACAGGGCAAACCAGTTGCTGAGTTGCTAATTCAAACAGAGAACAAACACAGGATCACCTTAGGTGACATCAAAAGACCAGAAAATCCTTGTTTTATGTGAAAGGAGGGGGTTGGTGCTTAAAAGACTCTGGGAGCAATAAAGTAAATTAGACTCTTCAACCCACTTTTTCACCTGTCTTTCAAGAGAGCCCGAAAGATGGCCTTTTCCTTTAACCATAAACACTAGATTGGGTAGGGAAACAACCCCATCTTTAAAATGTGCTCAATAACTGGGCTTTGTCGACTGGGACTATTGATTTTTAGAGTATCCAAACAAAATGGAAAAGAGAAGAAGTAGAAAGTAAAGTAGGTATAATTATAATAACAGGAAAAGCACCTAATCTGGAAATCAGATGTCAGAAAATGGTCTGACCTATAAAATAGTCCTGTGGCTCTCTATTGAGGATTTAAGAATTAAGCTGATAGCATTATGTGATAATCAGAGCCTATTACTGAGACCTAATTCAGGCACCCACTAGACAGTCATGGCATCTCCCCAGGTGCCAACCATGGGTCAGTTCTCATTCACAAAGCATCTTGCAAAGAAGGCAGTTTGAATACCTGTACAGAATATTCCTTTCTTACCACACAGTGACAGTGTGACTTTGGCTTCCATCCTCAACCAGGTAAAAAGGAAATTCCGAAAACGTTGATTTCTTTTAGGCATATGAGGTCCCACAGAATTAAATCTGCCTGACTTTCTTTTGCTGACATACGGACCTCCTTCACCCTTTTCATAGGTCTAGAGAGACTCCAACACTTCCTGTGAACATTGCCCCCAATTTTTCAGTATGTAGAGAACATGGAT